CGTTCCAATGAATTATGAATCATACGTCCCTGTGCCCCGTACTTGAGAAAAATTTGTTTTGATTCTTGGTTATTGATAATGAGCATTGTGAATTTGTTGGTCATGATTTGAAGTTTAATTGCTTGGATTCCTAAACATGAGTCAATCTTGCCCAACTACTTGTGAATATAGTGCTTGACTAGTTGATTTGGTTAGGAAATGTGTGATAGTTCCATAATTCCTGGTATGACAATGAATTTGAGTATTGATTTGCAACTATGAGTAGTGTTTCATGACTTATTATTATGCACATGAGGAGGACGAAGACGTTCATTCTTTTAGGTAGCCTTCAGAGTATTTAGATACATTTGTTCCCTTCTTGTTACCCATGTTGTTGCTTGTGCCCTTTTATTGATTATTTAGCCACATTACAAGCCTATTTGAGCCTCATTGGTTACTAGTCCCAAGCTTGGCTTGGGGGAGCTTTTAGTTAGTGAGGTGAGGGAGTTGTGGTGTGCATATTATTTACACAATGTGGGAATAAAAGAAGAGTGATTGTTCTTTGATTTTTTATTAAAAAATATTGATGTTGTGTTTCAAAGTTGAAATTTCCAATATGAGTTAAAAAGAAAAAAAATAGCAAAAGAAAAAAAATTAATGCTCAAGTATTCTATTTGAAGGTTGTTCAAGAAATGAAAAAAAAAAGAAAAAAAAGAATGAGTTCAAGGTTTGTTTTTCACTCAAAGTTCTACATTATCATATTTTTATGAGTGATTATTGTGAGTGTTGGGATTGTTTATGATGATTAGAGTTGTATTTGGTGGTTTTTGTTGGATTTGGTTATGTTTATGGAGATGTATGATCATCATTATTTTGATCATGGGTTTTGTTGTTTTAATGAATACTACAAGAAGGGGGGGTTGAATTGTAGTATGAGAATTTAGCCTAACTTTTTCAGGAATTAAACTTAAGTTAGCTAAAGGAACTGAGAGATTAATCTAAAGGAACTAAAGAATGCAAGAGAGATTTTACGTGGAAAACTCCTTGGCCCTAACAAGGAGAAAAACCACGACCACTTGGGATTTTGGGAAAAGAATCTTCTCACTCAAGTTAAAGACTCAAACTCAAGTTCCTCTACGAACTTGAGACCCTCAGGAACAAGTCACCCAACTTGTTACTCTTCTCTTCTCTATCTCTCTTCTCACTTCTCTCTTCTCTCTTCTCTTTCTCTTCTCTTTCTCTTCTCTCTCTCTCTCTTCTCTTTCTCATACACAAACGTTCACTCGAACTTCCCCATTCCCAATTACAACTCGAAAGAAAAACAAACTCTAGTATAAGAACATTTTGAACACTCTAATAGACTTGTATGGAATTGGACTCTTAACTCGAATAAAAGATGAAAACTTATGTGAGCAAAGGGTGAGTTTTTCCATCTGAAATCAACAACTATTTATAGACCAAAATTTGTTTAGGAAAAACTTCTTTGTGCAGCAAATCCATTACGCCACTTCTCATACCCACTAAGAAGATCATGTCCCTAAAATTAAGGGACCATGAACACCTCAATGTGCAAGACCATGTCTAGAAGAAGAACATGGGAGAGTAGGCCGCAAGTTTAGAGAAAACGTGGAGATTTTATTTTGTCAAAAACATTTTCCGAAACTCAGAAAAAGAAAACAAAATCTTTTTAATTTAAGAAAAAGATAAAATTTAAATTGCAACAGTTTTCCTAAAAACTAGCATGCACAATATTTTATCCTAAGACCAATTCCATACTGATTTTTCGAGTGTAACTAACTTTCTTATACTTACATAAATCCTAAGATATATAAAATATTTAGTCTTCATGTTTCTCTGATGAAGCTTCTACTCCGAGGCTTCTGTTACTCGGAAGGAACTTCTCTTCTCCAGTCTTCATTTCTGAAGCGCCAGTCCCTGTGAGGGAACTCTTCTCTATGGCTAGCTCTGCTTCTGGCCTTCTTGTTCCTCATGGTATTTTTACAAGACACTTCATTCTCCTAGTCTTCGTAACTGAGTACACACTTAAACAATCAAGCTCTTATTAGTTTGTAAGTAAGTGAGGTTGTGTCATCATCAAAATTATTAAGTCCAACAGGTTTATTAGGATTTGGCTCCCTTAATGCATAGTTTTTCTCTCATATAATCCCAAATTTATCCTACCTTTACCTTAGCCTTACATTACAAGCTTTAAAGACCTTCCGACCTTGTGCATAGAAGTTATGTAAATGTGAAAGTGTTGTTTATCAATGCAAGTTATGACTTGGCATATTTCGAGTCGACTAGTAGGATGAGCGTTCAATGTTTTTATACACACGAGAGTTTGAGTTGGGAGGGCATTGTTCACATTAAAGGGGTTGGTTGGAGAGCGATCGACTACATCCTTTACTCTCCACATAAATGAGAGTTGAGTGTGTGAGCACTAGTCTTGAATTCTATATGCTCTTGTGGTTTGCTCTACTTGACAATTGTTGGGGAGGAAGGGTGATTAGATGAATAAGATTGATTGATGTTGAAGCATGTTCATTAGATTTGCCTTGAATCGTTGGTTTTTGATTTGATTATTGGGGTGAAGTATGTTTTATATGTTCATTGATGAGCTCATTGCTTAGGGACAAGCAAAGGTTTGGCTTGGGGGAGTTTGATATTTCCATTTTATATAGTGTTTTACCCCCGTCCCTTGGTCGTTATTAGTAGTGTTTTTGGCTCTTTTGGGCCACTTTTATTACTAATTTGTGTGTTCTAGTTTTTTCGTAGTTTTAGTTGTATTTTACAGGAAATTGCACTCTTGGAGTATTTTCCCGGGCTTTATGGATCAACTACGGAAGCTAGAAGGACGGGACCACTTTTGGAGCCCAGGATCGGTGAGAGCTGGTGATTAAGGGCTCGGTAATTGGGATCCCGAGGCTTTTGGACCAAGTATTCGAGACCCGAGAGGGAAACCCAGATTGGGCCGAGAAATCTAGCCCAATCAAAGTCCAAGCCTCAAGAGGAGCAAAGACCCGATCGGGCAACCTCTAGCCCGATCGGGCGCGGCAAACCATAGTGTTGTGCATGCTAAGGCGCGCCTGATCGTGCGAGCATCTAGCACGATCGGGCGATGCTGCTTGGGAAGAACGCAAAGAAAAAGGCGCGCCCGATCGGGCGGCCCTTCGCCTGATCGGGCGCGCGTTTCTGGAAGGCCTTATTAAGTTTAGTTTTAATTCTTGTTTTAGAAAACGTTTAAATACGATTTTGTACGGAATTATTAGATTACCTTCTTTCTTAGACTTTCTCTCTCTACTTAGTATTTTTCTCTCTCTTAAATTCTCTCTATACTTTTGTTCTTAATACTTCCTTTAATTCCAGATTTATTTTTGGTAACAATTTCTTCCCTTTTAATTTCAGTTATTTTATTTGTTTTCTTGATTATGATTTTATTTATTTACTTGATTAGTTTAGTCATGATGATTTGTGAGTAGTTTAATTTCTAGGGTTTATGGGGATCTAATAAATGATATGAAGGGGTAGTTTTGTGTTTATTAATTATCAATGCTTGGTTGATTTCCTATTGATTGATTAAATGCTATGCAATTAGGTTTGGCTAGATTTAATTGTATGAGTTTAGCAATATTAATTCAAGATTCGACAGATGAGAATTGATGTTTAGGCTTAGTTTCAATAGGCGGATTAATTTATAAATGGTTCAGGCGAGATTCGACAGATGAGATTTAATACCGGTAAATTAACTTTGTGATTATAATACGTAGCGAAACCCCTTTATAATCTAATTAACCAATGCCTGATGATTGCTTATTATGATTTGCCCTGGAATATTGTTTATTAGTGAACCTATGCCCTACGCCTTTTAATATTTGATTTTCTCCCTACTTTATTTATTTCAACCTTATTCTCCGTAGTTTAGATTTTATTCATAAAAATATTGGTTACTTAGATAATTTAGATTATAATAATTAATTAGAAGTAAAAAGACCTGTTTCCCTGTGGAGTTCGACCCTACTTCCCTATCTACTTTAGTTAGAGGATTTAGGTAATTATTTTTTATTAGGGGATACGACTTTACCCTGTCAGCCACGAACCCACAAGACAGCCCCATTCACAATCCCAGCCACAATTGGATTGTGAGTACAATAAACGATCCCACGAGCATTTCTTATAGTAATATCATCCGAATGACAGTCCACCCTCCTAGCATAGTCATAGTAAATTTTCAAGAAAGTTTCATTAATCCTAAGCTCATACTCGAGCCCTGGATCGTAGTCGTTTAGGCTGCGAATCCTGAACGAGATCTTTAGAGTATACACTCCGAGCCTTTCCTTCCTAAACTTTGGCCCTTTCTTATCAACAGGCTCTGGCTTAGCATTACTAGTAGAAAAAGTTCTATTTGTAACTAGCGAAATTGACTTTTTATAACTGGCATTGTTGGTTGCGAATGCCACCGTTACAACTAGTAAAAATTATTCGTAACTGACTAATGTTAGTTACAAATAATGTACTATTCGTAACTGGCTTACCCTAACGCCAATTACAAAAAGTCTATTTTCCAAGGTAGAAAGCATATTATTTGTAACTGGCATTAAGTTACGCTAGTTATAATTAGGGTATTATAAGTAACTGACAAATCTTAACGCCGATTACAAATATATATTTTTATTTTTTAAAAAAACATATTATTAGTAACTAGCATTAGATTATGCCAGTTACAAATAAATAAATAATTTTTTTTAATAAATATTTGATTCGAATATAAGAATGGTAATATATCCTACCAAACATCCTATCGTCAAATGGGTTCAACCTGTTACAATTCAACCAACAAAACACGTACTCCGAATACACTCATATAACTTAAAATCACCCACAACATACAATACAAACACTCCAAATAATTCCACAGATGTTGAATTATTCATCCACAACAGTACAGTGCAACAAAATTAACTGTACTTTCCAAAAAACAATTAAAACTTGAATAAAAAAAAAGAACATTGATTTATAATTTAAAAATGTAATGACAATCAATAAGCTAAATAAAAGTAGATATATAGAAAAGTGTTACATTGTTTTATTAAGCTAAACGCGACTAATCATAACAGTGATTAATAAGATAACTAGTCTTTCAACAACAAATTAAGCCTAAAAAACTTAGCGCATTGTTCTCAAATCTCATCTAATTCAACATCGTTGTAGGCTGCAAGTCTTGCCAAATACTCCTTCAAATATTAAAAAAAATACGTGTCTATAATACTTTATTAAAATAAAACATCAACCAAAACTCATATAAAGCATTTTAGCTTGCAAAGAAAGGTAAATTAATCACTAACCTCTTTCAAATTTCCCTTGCAATCGCTATGAAAGGTATTATCTCATACATATATATCTCATTACATAATTAGCACATTCGGTGCGCAACTATTAGCTTTCTCTTTGGTTTGCACCAACTCATTATCCGCATTTTTTGCAAAAGTCATAACCTTCAAGAAAAGATAAATATTAATATAATTAAGTTACAAATATCTTAGATCATTACGTGTGATCAATGTATTACCTCATCAGTAAAGAAGACTAAATCTGCAGGCCACCCCAAATCACAATCCAAGAAAGTTTCTAGTAATGCATATTCAAATACAAACCAGCATCTGGAAAGGAGCATCAAGATTCGCTGTGTTATCAAGCAAATTCGACATATTCTTAGCTTCTTCAGCGGGGATCTTGGTGTACTCTGATGATGCCCATCCTTCTTTTGCAGAAGCATAGAGAATAGGAAAATCCAACTGTTCCTCTAGTACTATATAGAACCCTTCAATTTGAAAATAAAAACACACTTATATGAAAAGTATAGTACTATATAGAACCCCTCAATTAAAATACAAACAAAACTAATAAGTAAAACAAGCTACACATATAGCAAATAGCTAGCTACAACTATATAAAGTATGGACAATAAGAAGTCATCTGCCCCCTGAGTCAAGATTAATGGCCCAACCTTGTCTAATCAATATAAATATGAGGCCCATGTCCTGAGCTTTCTGGTATATATCAAGCAGTTTTGATGCTAGGATTTACCATTTGACTTAGCCATACCCGTGTTGATACAACCTGACCAAAGTGCAGACAGGTCGACCCTGAAAGGGAGTATATGGACTCTACGTTACACTTCCTAACCCTGAAAGGGAGTTGAGATCCACATGAACAATATATATATATATATATATCGAAACGCACATGAAAATTAGAAAGAAAAACGCACAATCACCCCTATATGACCTACTGCACTACTTATTTCATACATATTTATCAGCGGGAGCAGCAGACAGAAGGCTATCAACTTGTGGCTGATAAACAGATTTCCCTTTATATTGTTTAGTCCTTTTTTCTTTCACCTTTGTTCTCTCTTTCATGTATTCATTACAATAAGATGTATCTAGTACTTAATAAAACGTGTTCCGGGAATCACAGCAACCACATTTATTAATAAAGGGATTCAAATTTCTGAATTTCGGGTCTAAGCTTCTGTTCTGAAGTTAAGACTAATTTCAGTTCTAAGCTTCAGTTCTGAATTTCAAACTAATTTTAGTTCTGAATTTCAGTTCTAAACTTTAATTCTGAATTTCAGACTGATTTTAGTTCTGAGTTTCAGACTTGTCTCAGTTCTGAATTTCGGTTTTGAGCTTTAGTTCTGAATTTCAAACTGATTTCAGTTCTGAATTTCAGTTTTGAGCTTCAGTTCTGAATTTCAAACTTATCTCAGTTCTGAATTTCAGTTTTAAATTCAATTCTGAGCTTCAGTTATGAATTTTAGATTTGATTTCTAAGATGTTGCAGTTTAGGCTTTATGGTTACCACTTAATATACAGCCAAGTTCACGGTCATAGTGAACTCATACACCTGTACAAGGTAGTTCTATTTACTTGCAGAGGTATTGATGCACATGCATATGTTTTATCGCTATAATACTACTACCTATGGCTATTATAGAAAACTTCCCCACATAATAGCTCAATGAATAACTTCATCACTAGCTGACTCTAATATGGTCAAGTCATAGCTGGCGTACACACTTGAAAATGTCTCAGACAAAAGCAAGATAATATCTTGGCCGGGGAGAAAACAGAGCTGGAAAAACCCTCATAGGAATATCATACACAAAAACAAAGAGTGCACATGCCAAGAGCACCTACGGTAAAAAAGCAGCAGATGAAAAATACCAAAGGAAAGCATTATACTTGGCAACTCAATGTCTTTTTGCCTCTTCCACTTAATAATGCATGATGAGTACGAAAAAGTGAAACTAAAGTTTGCTCAGAAAAAAATAAAATAAAAGCATACCTGCTTCAAAAAGTATGCTAGCCTTTTCACCTCCTCCTTTTCATGAAGCAATTCTCCTTCCCTTTTGGCTAACTGAATAGCTAAAGCCTCAAACTGGATTACGATAAAGGGTCAATTACACATAGGTTCAGTTATATGTAACATATGATACCAACTGATCTTTATACTCCAGAATCTAGGTGTAGGTTGACTGGTAAATTCATTTAATGTAACAAAAACATATTATTACAGAGTTGCTGGATCTACTCACCACCACTCAGGCATTCACAGACACCAACTATACATTAATTTTTAGTTACTAGACTTACTACCCAACAAACACTCAAAATATCACAAAAGAACTCTTAGGCGTCTTCGCTTAACAGCATCATAGCATCAAAAGAATTAACGATAAATTGATAAATCATCGGAAGGTCTGAACTAGACAACAACATTATTAAAACAAATCAAAGGTAGCAACAACAACATAAAATCGAGTGTCAAACTCAATTAAACCCTAAATAGAAACATTTCAATAAATGTAAAGTAACCCATATTTAAAATATAAAAAAAAAACCCAAATTACAAAACCCCAAAAAACAATTATATACCTGCGGCTGCTTTTGATGGAAAACCGGATTCCATGAACCCAATTTTTATAAATCCTAAGATCTGAAGCATCAAATCCAACCACGGAGTTTTCAGGATCCTTCTCTATTGCTCGCTGCTAATTTAAGAGAAAAATTAAGAGGAAACGGTGGAGAGAGTTCTAGGGCAGGTGACGGTAGTGACGGAGGGGGTTCCGGTGCAGGTGGCTTGAGCTTCTCGCAGCAGTGACGGAGGGAAATCTAGGCAGGAAGTTCTCATGGTTGTGAAGCTAATTTAAGATAATAATGTAGAGAGAACGGTGGCGGTTGCAGTGACGAAAGTGATGGAGGAGTGAAAGTGGGAACCATAGTCGACGTTATAGGTGACAGCGGTGGTAGAGGCCTGGAGGATGATGATGAGAGGTTTCGAAAGAGGAGGAGTTTCGAAAGAGTGTGAATGGTCAAAAATGAAAAAAGAAAGGAGAAATAGAAGTAAAAGGTAGGGTGGTTTTTTTTAATTGCCACCGGTTCAAACGAGAAATTGTTTCCTTTCTTTAAAAAAATAAATAAATAATTGTTTCTAATAACTTAATATTTATAACTAGCGTTTATAAGTTAGTTACAAACTTTTTGGTCAAAGTTTCTTTGATATAATATTTGTAACTGGCGTTTGTAAGCTAGTTACGAGTGTTTTGGTCAACGTTTCTTTGACTTAATATTTGTAACTGGTGTTTGTAAGCTAGTTACAAACTTTTAAGTCAAATTTTCTTTGACTTAATATTTGTAACTGACAGTTATTTAGTCAGTTACTAATAAAACTTCAAACAATGATAAACACGTATTAGTAACTGACATTTACTACGCCGGTTACTATTGTCATGAATTTTGTAACTGGCATTATCTTAGTCGGTTACTATTAATGCTTTCGTAACTAGCATAACATGCACCAGTTACTAATAAGGCGTTACAAATAACATTTTTTCTATAGGAGTTTCCATGACAACCACAACATCAAGTTCGTCATCTTCTATCTCAACAATAACACCTTAAGAAGCAACATGCTTCTTTTGTTCAGCACCAGCGACGTCCTTCTTCTCCTAATCAGCAACATCGTCCTTGTTTTCTACGGCATCAATAGCGTCCTTGTTCTTTTCAGCATCAGCAAGGACGTCCTTGTTTTCTTCAACAGCAGCAACGACGTCCTTGTTCTCTTCGGCAACATCAACCATCTCTTCGGCAACAATTCCTTTTGGTTTCGTAAGGTCATGTACAGGATCTTCAATGAGGTCAGGAACAGAACGATGAGACGGCAGTCTAGCGCGGCTTTTTCTTCCACCGACCCTCATGCCACGCGCTAACTGCTCCAAGAGGTTGTGACGCCCGAAAGCCTTCCTTTTCCTACGTGGTGGACCGAGTATGGAAGGGATACCATTAGGGTTAAGATTTGAAGGGGCAAGGGAACTCATTTTGGATGAATATCTATGTGTGGATGATGTTGGTGAACAAGTTATTTGTGAAGTCTGTTTTTATATAACCCCCATGCGTAGGAATATACCCTTTCAATTAAAATATTTATTGAATATTGCAAATGAGAATGAGAGTGCAAAGCAACAGTTCCATAATATAAATAATATTTGTTTCATAATTATACCACGGTCGATGACTGTCTCAATTGGTTTACACCTACTCACTACCTTTGGTTCTATGTTCGATTCCCAACAGCTGCATTTCCCATCCCCCAATTTTTTTTTTTTTTTTTTTTTTTTTTTTGCTTTTTACACTACTCCAATATTTTTTTTGGTTTTATTTATAGGTAGTCCAATTTTATCTTTACATATGCAATTACACTAAATGTATCTTTTTTTAAAAAGATAATTAGTATGTATTAGTATAAACAGTTTTATTAAAGATAATTACAAATAACGGGATGATAGATTTTGATTTTTATCTGATATAATTATAACATATAATTTTGTGTTGCAAAATTCTTCGAATGTTAATAATAATAATAATAATAATAATAATAATAATAATAATAATAATAACAATAACAATAACAATAACAATAACAATAATAATAATAATAATAACATATAATTTTGTACTAGTTAAGGAGTTGTCCTTTACCCGCAAGGTATTAACCAAAGGACATAGCAACACATATATACACCAAAAGGGATGACTGAACTGCCTGTCAAAAAGTGTTTAACAGGAAAAGGGAAACATGTATCTTCCTTTCTAAAACGTCCCAAAATCATAAGTAGTTATCCTAGCTTTAGCTTAGGCCAAATCTTATCCTAACACTTAACATTTTACCATTTTACCACGGTGAATCCATTTCTTTTTACCTCTCCACTCATACATCCAAATATCTCACACACGAAATTGGAAATCATATATGTACTTGCACTAATCAAAATTTTCACATTGTGGTAAATCAATCAACGGATACAATTTAAAACATCAACGCTTATAAACAAGGAAATTACTTGATTAATCTACTCGAATTCGATTTCATAGTATTTATTGTAGGTTTTTGGAATTATTTGATATGATAATCACATGAAAATGTAGGGTTATACTGATGATCACACATTTGAAAAATAAAAAAATCAACGTTCAAATATTAATATTGGGTCAGTTTTTCAATCCAGATTTCAATTATGGTGTTATTATTTTTTTTACATATAAAGGGATAGTTGAAGATTGTTTCTATACAAAGATAAAAGATATTACCACATAGTACAACAATGATAAGACCCCTATATGACAGACCTATACTCAACAATGGCTTAAGCATAGTCACTTCGTAAGTCAATTTCAATAACACAATTTTGACAACAAATAAATTTACTAAAATTTCATATACTTTTGACAGCATATAAAATTTAATAACCTATAAATTTACTAACTTCGTATAATTTAAGTAATACAATATGGAATAAGTTCAATACAGTTGTTTTAATTTGGCTTTTAATTACATTAGTTATTTTATTATTAACTCGACAAGATATTTATTATACAATTTAAATCAAATATTGCATAACCTTACACCTAAAAGTATGCTTTAACATGGTTTGAAAAACAAAATATGCTTTAACAATACAATTAGTAACTGTCAATTTATTAGATGGTACAATTCTTTTATTTAATATAATGGGGATTTTTATTACAAAAAATCGTTAGAGATTACTAGAGTTGAGTAACAATTTAATACAACTGATTAAGTCATAATTACGATTTAAAAGGTACAAGGGTTAAATAACATCATATCTAAGGATTCTAAAGGGTTTAGCTTCAGAGGGTCTGGGGTTTGAAGGGTTAAAGGTTTGAAGGGTTTAGGGTTTCTAGGGTTTAGGGTTTTTAGGGTTTAAGGTTTGAAGGGTTTAGTGTTTAGGGTATGTGTATAGTGATACATGAAATAAAATTATCAAAGTTGTTACGTTTATTGACATAATTACAAGTTCGTTTCGATCAAACTAAATTGTTTAAGGTTCAGATCAAGCTGATCAACATGATTAACTACATCATTAATACACGTAACAACGTATCTTCAATAGAGGAACATTAAATACAACAACGTTACTAAGACCGGACTTGGTTTAATAAATCTCACAAACAAGAATCCAAAAAATATTCACCCACACCCTTTCCAATGTTTAAGAATCATACCTACAACCTACCTAGCCCTAATCATAGCTACCCTACTCCTGACTTACCATAGTGAAACAATATCCTTTTACCAAACTAAACAATGTCCTTTATACCAAACTCATAATTTCAAAAATCTCACACAAACATTTAAAAATCGTATATGTATTCCTACTAATGCAACTATCACATATTCATAAATCAACGGCATTAAATTTGGATCGATTATTCAACGGTTGTAATATGTTTGTGAACTTTAAATTTTGTTGTTATTGGTTATATATATATATATATATATATATATATATATATATATATATATATATTTATATATATATATATATATATATATATATATATATATATATATGTATATGTATAAATAAATATGGACACTTTACAGCAATTTTTAGCTAAATATAATGAAACAAAAAGTAATCAACTTTATTTTAGGTCTAAAAAAGTATATAAAAGTTTTACGTCATTTGAGGTACATAAGAATTTAAATAGTTTGATGATTGATCATATATAATGTATGGGGTTGGGGGAGGGTTTATGGTTTGGAGGGTTTAGGGTTTTGAAGGGTTTGGAGGGTTTAGGGTTTGAAGGGTTTGGAGGGTTTAGGGCATGATTTCAAATTTGTCTTTTACTACATTAGTTTTTTATTTGAAATAATTGAAACAACGTTACTACGATCAACTATTTTTAATAAATTTCACAATCAAAAGATCAATTGAGCTTCAAAGATAACCTATACACCGAACATTATTACTTCGATCAATTACATAGAAGAATTAGATCACCAAGCAAACTCTGATACACACGACATACCGTCAATTATAATATATACAATTCCATTTAAATTGTAATGTGGATTTAGATTTTTTTTAAAAAAAATGATAGATTTGAATAAGAATTTAATCCAAATTAGTATGGATCATATTTAAGGATTTCATAGTTTGAAGGGTTGCGGGGTTGTTTAGGGTTTGAAGGGTTTAGGGTTCAGGATTTAGGATTTAGGGTTTAGGGTTCGAAGAGTTTAGGGTTTGAAGGGTTTATGATTTGGAGGGTTTAATTTCCAAATTGATCATTTATATGACAATTTGGGGTGTCCATTATTCGGATAAAAAACGAAATTCAGTCCAATCTAAACCGAAATATTAATTCGGATCGGATCGGCTAATTTTAAATCGAATCGGATAGGATTGCCCTTTTTGAGAAATCAGATTTTGCGGAGCGGATCGGATTGGATTGACCTTAATTGATTGGATCCAAAAAACTAATTTCATGTGAAATTATGTTGATGATTACGTTGACTGTTTATAACAATTTGTATATATAAATTGTTACAATTTAATTTATGATTGTAATAGCACTTTTTCAAATATATCTTCTGAATTTGAAATATTGGGATATATTTTAAGAAACAAGATAAAGTGTGAATATTGTAAAATATATCCTATAATATTTTGTGAATCTTAGGTTACTTGACCTTGCCCTCCAAGTATACCTATATATATTATACATGGCCGAATAGATGAATGTGATTGACAGAGCTAATTTATTGAATACAATTTGTCATGAAATGTTGTTAAAAAATTTAATTACAAATTATTGGATATTACCAATTTTTTTATAATAAAAAGGGTTAACATTCCATCAATTTGTTTGGGGTGTCGTTGTTTGGTGCCCAAACAAAGGATGAACTTCATGATGGTAATGGCTACTTTATTTCACAAAGTACAATAGGAGGTTGCTTGTGAAAACAGTGCAAGTTGCAGACCTTCACAAAAGCAAGTGTTATCGTAAAAATGGAAACAAGAATCCAAAAAAGAAGCACCGACACCCTTCCAAAATCATACCTACCCACCCTAGCCCGAATCATAGCTACCCTACACATGATTTCCAATAGTGAAACAGTGTCCTTTTTCCCAAACTCAAACTGTCAA